ACATTACTCTTGTTTGAGTCCGATTTCAATATATAACAAGAAATCTCATTTCGGTATACATTACTCTCTGTTATAAAGAACATTAGAGAACATTCAAAAGCATGCATACTGTATAAATTGAACAACTTAAAATGTAAATGCAATAAATAAATTGAGTAGAACTTCATAAGCTATACATGTCCACACCAAGTAAAAAATCCATCAAATAGAAAAAATTGAGGAAACAAAAAAATGATGAAAGCACCCTTAACGTGATTGCAAGCAGTAATGCAAATTTTCAGTTCAATTTCACCAGATAACGTGATAAAAGCACTTCAAACCTATGCCATTTTGACCAATGATATAAGTACTTCTGCCTCACCAATCCATCCTCTCTAGCAATCCCCCCTCCCCCGACTAAAATCAATCTTCATAAACTATTTACTTGATTCCGAGTTGTTTACATTTTAATCAAGAAAACCTAGAAATCAATATGTAGATGAATAAATAAATGATTAATTTATAATATGTCAATATGTAGATGAATAAATAAATGATTAAAATATAACATTACTGGATACTTATCTTGGAGTATGTTATTGCAGATGAAGTCCTCGCGGCATAAGCACCACCATAGCCGCCTGCATACTTTGACAAAGGTGTAATTCGTTCTGGTATCGACCTGCTTGATTGCTTGAAATCCTTGAAAGAATGGGCTGCGGTTTGAAGAGAAACAGACTGATGTCCCGTCCTCTGGTATAACTGCCGGTGTGATGTTGCCGTTAATTGCTTCCACACGGAAGAAGACGGAGATAGATGGTTAATAGAAACCAGGTACAATTGGCAGACTTTAATGTACAAGTCATTAAAACACATTGTTACACCAACACATTTTTATACCTAAAATGACCTTACTCCCATTCATCATTATAATATTTTAGAAATTACATTGTTTTACTGATATTCTAGTAAACCTCCTATACAAGCTTGATTTTCTTATTAATAAAATAAATCTATTAAGCACTATATTTAAGAAGGGATAGAATAGGAAGAGGGACATATATATTACTCTTATTTTGAGAATGATAATATGGTAGTCCTATTATTACATTTAGTAGTAATTTTACTCCTATTTAGAGCTAATAATAGCCATCGTTATTATGAACTAAGTGCTGCGATCACATCGTATCTACTCCCTCCGTCCCAGAATTAACTTCGGTTTTGACTGGGCACGGAGATTAAGAAAGTGGGAAATGTGTGGTTGAGAGTTGTGCAGAGGAGAGAGAAATGTGTAAGAATGATTGTGAACCACAAATCCTTTGCTAAAAAAGGAAAGAGGAGATAAATTTGGGACGGACCAAAAAGGAAAGAATGAAGATAATTATGGGACGGAGGGAGTACTATATTTCTGTTTTCAAATACGTACCAATTGTACTGAAATGAGCACCTGTGCTTATAAGATGTTTATTTGTTCGAAAGGAATGCTTAATATTTTTGTGTTCTCTTTTAATTAATTACATCACGCCAAATCATGGATTACACATGCATAAGCACATAGATAGATTGAAGGCTAAAATTTGGTATAAAGCATCTATGATCAAATATTGTCAACGGCAATAGAAAGATAAGTATAAATTACTCCGTATAAAAGTAAGGGGCTATTTGTGTGTAGTAGATAGTGGTCTCTAGCCTTTAATGTCGGCTGAGCCACCATCATTATATGTAAAGTAAAAGTAGAAAATTTATACTAAATGTTTGATAATAATGTGTATTTACACACTAATGGCCTAGGTTAACCTAGGTTATTGCAGGTTCAATTTTTAGTTAACATCGTTTGTTTGTGTTTTTGCAACAAGAATTTAAGTTATGAGTTAAACTCACATAACTCCACAACAAAAATCTTAAATCGAAGAACCTCTGAAATGGGGGGTTATGGGGGTTAAGTTCTCGTTTAACATAAAATGGGTTAAAGTGTCTTCGTCCAAATAGCATATATTAGATTAACCTAGGTTCACCTTATTTATTTCTAAACACTATTTTACGCATGAATCTAGATTCACTTCGATTTACTTTAGGCTAAAGGGTCAAATAGGTACATGAATTAACTTAAAGTGTTCAATTAGCCCCTTATATAGGAGGTTCTGCCCGGCCGTCGCCAATTGGGGCGGTTCTCGGTGGAATTTTTTGATGAAAATTTTTGAGCATCTTCTTCATTAAGTCTAGTTTACTCATATCAAATTTCAGCTAAAAATTAAATCGGGAAGGCAGTCAGATGATTTTTCAAAGTGTACTGCGTTGTTTACCTGCGCAGTTATCTTCACAAAATCATTTGACTGCCTTCCCGGTTGAATTTTTAGCTTAAATTTGGTATGGATAAACTAGACTTAATGAAGAATATGCTCAAAAATTTTCATCAAAAATTTCCACCGGGAAACGTCCCAATTGGCGACGGCCGGGCAGAACCTCCTATATAAGGGACTAATTGAACACTTTAAGTTAGTTCATGTACCTATTTGACCCTTTAGCCTTTACTTTATTACACTAAGTTTCTTTGAGTTCACTTTATCCAACCAGAGCATACATGACTATCACAACTCTTTATATCACTCTATGGTGACTAGATATATTTTGGAATGACTAGTGATCTTGAAGTTTGCTTTTAATTTGTTTATAATTATGACTATCACAATTTTTTTTATAACTGTATGCTACAAGGTATTTTTGGAATAACTAGTGATCTTAAAGTTATGATTTTGCTTATAAATTTAATTTACCAATATCATTTTTATAGTTTGAAACTATTGTTAGTAAACAAAAATGTGAGGTCAATTCTTCGAACAACGAGAAGATAGAGTAAATGATTTTAGATAAGCTTAACTTTACTAAAAAAAAATGTTGAACTTATGCGTAACTCAAGTGTACATATAAAGAAGTTTTCTTGACAAATACGAGGTTTGAACCGAGTAAATGTCACAAACGTTTGTTTGGATTAGGGGTGTATACGATCCGAGGGGAGCCTGAACAACTGAACTTTCCTAAGATAAGATGGAGCTCGAGTTTGATTTTTTTTTTACAAGCTTGATCGGCTCGCGAGCTACAAACCTAATTAAAATAAATAGGCTTATAGTTTGTTAAATTTTTTACTCGAGCCGAGCTGAAATATGGCAAACTCATGTTGAGTTTTTTTTCGAGAAACTCATGAACAGTTTGAGTCATTTACATGTACTTATAAAGTTTGGATCGAGGTTTATTAATTAGGTGACCATAGTAAAACATTGTGTAGTTTCACAAAATATCTAGCTTTATACTTTAGTTTCAACAATGTATCGTTAAACATTAGTTTTTTTTATAACATAAACACTTAAATACAAAAGTCCGGCCCTTTCGAAAGCGTGTCCCTAGGCAATCGGCTAGACTCATTCCTCCTACAAGTTTAAAGAACTGTTACACACTCATCCACACACTCGCAATACAAAGGCCACATTTGACAATATCACTTTGTATTATTCAATTAAAATGTATAACAGAGATCTCCAAATAAACATGTAATTCACATCACTCTTTATATATGAAACTACTTCACTCTCACCCCTCTCTCAAGGATGCACTCACTCACTCAAAAGCTCTCATCAAGGCTCTCTCTCAATCTCATCACTTGATGAGGCTCTTACAAGGCTCTCCCTCAAGGCTTTCACCCAAGACTCTCACTCAAGGACCTCCATAGGATGGGTCTCACCCCAATTTATACAAACTTTCTCAATGCTTCTCTAGAACTTTCTATACACCATTACACTTCTAGACTATTCTAATAAGTATCCATAAGCTTCTTCAATCTTTTAGAATGATCTAGAGAACTCCACGTCTCCACACTACTTCAGAATGTTCTAGAGGCTTTCACACACTTCCACACAATTCTAGAGAATTCCATTCTTCTCTAGAAAGCTTCACAGTGTTCTAGAATATTCTACACTCTTCCACACGTTTCTAGATAATTTAACGCCTCTCTAGAAGGTTTCATAATATTCTAGAACATTCAATATTTATCTACACTCATATAGAGAATTATAGCCATATCCACAACATTCAAAAATTCATAGCTAAATCACCAATGCCAAGAGTTTTTTAAGGCCAACATTCTTGAATTGAGATGAGATTTGAACATGTGATCTTCTCCTTCAGAGTGTCACACTGATGCCATGGTATATGTCATGCCAAGAGTTTCTTAAGATGAGGATTTTGGTAGCTAGTCAAATAAAATACAAGTCCTTTCCGGTGGATGGTCGGTGTGGGATACACTCTAAATACCTTTTTTCTTTTCAATGACTATTGAATTCATATTTTTAGCCGGTCTTTATTGTAGTAAGAGGAGCCAATATGTTATTGGAATCTATATCTCTTTACAGAATTGGGAAATTTGATATCAAAGCATTAAGTTTGGGTCGTGTGATTCTAGTATTAGACGAACCAATATAATTGTGTTTTATTCTTATTCTATTATTTACAAATTACAATAAACAACAATACCAACAACATCTAACCATTATCCCAAAAGAGTTGAGGGTCGACATTCTATTTAACAAACCCTTTGAATAAAAAACATACTCGTATATTATTAGATATTGAGTTTATTCGGATCCGAATCCACATTTCAAATTTGAAACAATAATGGAACCAAATTTATTTGATTCACGCGCAACAGTAATTATATCTTACTGAACTATAATTTATTATTCGATACGTTAATTAATTAATTAACATAAAATAGAGGCTTAATTATTTATTTTTCTAAGTAATAATAATAATAATACGAAGTATTTAACATAAAGTTAAGAAGTGCAGGGGTTGATACGGCGCATTTTGTCAAAAAACAAGTACGGATCATGAATGAATGATGAGCATGTTTTGCTTTTTTGACAATGGACTAATGGGGTATCATTTCATACCGATTTTGAAATTCTCACAACAATATTACTCCGTATTTATCTCTAATAATATGTACTTCGCATTCTAGATTCAAAGAAAACAAATTAAAATGATCTTCAGCTAGGTGAGAATTTGGTGGAACAAAGCTAGTTTTGAAAATGTTCTTGAGAAGGCCATTAGCCATAACCATAACAATAATCTTCTCCCTCTCATGCCTTGATTGCTTTCCTATTGATGATAAGCGAATTGTCATCAATGTGGATCATTTCGGCGCTCGAGGCGACGGGCGTACTGATGATTCGGAAGTATGTATATGTTCGACGACTTTATATGTTACTCCGTAGTTTATATTTTTATTTGATCTCACAATTACGAGGTCTATCAGGCATTCAGTCGCGCTTGGAAGAAATTTTGTAAAACAGAAAAAGGAGAGTTGTTGATTCCTCTTACAAAGACATACTTACTTAAGCCAATGTCTTTGGATGGACCCTGCAGGCAAAATCTTAAGATGAAGGTGACCCCATTTATATCTATTACCCAATTTATTTCAGAGAGTGGCGTTCCTGTCCAGCCGATTTGATGGGAACCGTCGTCTGGCCGAGGCCATTTCAGACCCTTCCCGATGAAATATTTTGATGATTTTTTTTTATCATCAAGTATAGTTTACATGTACCAAATTTCAGCTAAAATTCAATCGGGAAGACATTCAAATAATTTTTTGAAGAAAACTGCGCTTTGTATATACGGAGTATATAAACAGCGCAGTCTTTTTCAATTACACTTTTGACTGTCTTCCCAATTGATTAAACTAGACTTGATGAAGAACATTCTAAAAGGAATCAACAAAAAAAATTCATCAAGAAGGGTCCCAAATGACCTCGGCCGGATGGCGGTTCCCGTCAGGTCGGATGGACATGATTTGACCTCTTATTTCAGATTATTAAGTAATTATAATTTGATCTTAACTTCATTTTCTTGATTATGGCCTAGATTAGATATTGAAATTTTCTTAGAAGATTATTCAAACTAAAGTTACTATGTTGTAATGTCGTGTTGACTTTAGTGTAAAATTGGATATATAATTATATAAAAAATATTTGTCACTATACATAGGAGGTACCATTTTTTCCATCATCGTTATTTTAATACGTAGTACTAATAATTATGACATTATTTCTTAGATATCAGGAACAATTAAAGCTTCTCCGAATAAAAGAGATTATGAGGTTACAGGGAGGCTAAACTGGATGCTTTTAAGGTATCTGGACTACTTCCATGTTGATGGGGATGGCAATAAAGGCACCATAGATGGAAGTGGGAAAAACTGGTGGAAGGATTCTTGCAATTTCAAGGAATCAGCGGTGCGTTCAGTTTACTTACATTAAAACCACACATCTCACTCATTTCAGTAGCAATTTCGCCCAACTTATAGCATTACTGAGGGTGTTTTTTACTTGGGATTATATTGTTTCCCGTCACATATCAGAGTATTAGACCAAGCTTAAACAGATCAAACCAAACTAGCTCATACTTAAACAAATCAGCTAGACCACGCCAAATGAAAACAAACTTCTATAGTTATAAATTAGGGGGTGTTTGGATCTGATTCTTAAAACTGTTTCTGCTCCTTCAAAGAGCAGACAGAAGTTGGGGTGTTTGGGTGAAAGTGGAGAAGTATTTCGGGTGCTCTAATTTACTCCTAGAAACAGTTTTTTGGAAGTTGGTGGAGACCGGTCAGCTTCTGAAAACTGATTCTGCTTCTGCTTTAAAAACGAAGCGCAAGCATAATCAGTTCTAAACACCCCTTTACACAGAGACCAGACATTTACTAACTCAGATCAGATCAACAAATTTCAATCCAAGTAAAAACATCCTAAATTGAAAATACTATACTGTTAAATGATGTTATTCTCTTATAGCAGAATTCGTATTTAGGCATCCTTGGTAGGAGGTTTTGTTAAGAGATGGGCTCGATGCTAAAAATTGTACTCCGTAATTCATAGGAGTAAATTGGAAATTTATACTCCGTATATTGATTTATTATTTTATACTAGTATCAAACTAATGTGCTTGATACAAATATTTGAGCATTTTGTAACATTGTGTATATAAAAATTAATTAGATCAAATCTGGATTGATCAAAACATATTAGAACAAGCTTGAATAGATAGTTCAAAATATATATGTAATCACATAAAAAATGATATCATGTGTTTTTGGTTGGATTGGGTCAACACTCCATACTAATAGCTCTTCTTTTGTTTCTGCAGACCTGCGACAAAGGTTTAGTACCATTTGTAAGTTTCACTACTTACCTTAATGGCTTAATAATCTATAAAAGTCATTTACACTTAAACATGTTAGTTTTTAAATGGGAGTAGATGAATTATGATGTTTTTCCTTGATTTCAATCTCAAATTAAATCGAACTAGATATAAATATAAAATAGATCGCACAATGACAAATTTAAATTGACCAATCGAGACGGATGCACTTAAATTTCGATTTCTTATTATAGCCCCGACATTATTCTAACAATGTTTATGGTTTTCTTCTTTTTTGGATGGGGAACAGTCAGTCATGTTTGAGAATTCCACAAATTTGAAGGTGGAAAACTTATCGTTTAAAAATGCCCAAAAGATGCATCTGACTTTTAATGTAACTCGAAATGTTGAAGCTTCACACATCAAAATACAAGCTCCTGAAGATAGCCCCAATACTGATGGGATACATGTAAGTGGGAGCTACAATGTTACTATCACCAATTCTAACATTGCCACAGGTAAATAATAAATGATGTTGGCTACCCTTTCTCGCTTTTTCTCTTCAAAAAACTTCACTCCAAATTCACTTTTATTACTCCGTATGTCCTACTCACTATAAAAAACACAGGATTGATAGAGATTTTTGGCACAGATTTGTCAAAATAATAGAGAATTTAATAGCGACATGCTAAATTTATGCGAAAAACATTTTGACACGAGTTATTTAGTATGAAATCATAAGTCAATATATGCCAAATCCGTGTCAATCTTGTATTTTTTTTGTAATGACTATTTAAACGAGTATTGTTAGGTTCCATGAATATTAATGAAAAAAGTGATATGTTGATAAAATATTGAGTTGAGTTGTACTGCATTGTTGTCAGTTTTCACTTTTTTTATTTGATATATTAAATATTTCGAATTATTCGAAACAATCATATTTATGACTCACTCTTATGGGAGGTCTCGGTTTCGAAACTCAATGAGGTGATTTTTATCCCTGATTACTCCAGCCTCCCTAAAGGCCCCCTCCCTCAGACGTCCCCTGGAGTAAAAAAAAAATATGTTTATGTTTAATTTATCTATGTATTTAAATCTTGGTGGTATAGTTATAATGTAAGTCTTGTCATTATTAATGTTAATTAAGATGGGGAACAATGAATCAAATTCTTTTTAAAATAACGCGTATGTCACAAAAGTTCTATTTATCAGTTTGCCTAGCACTTTCTATTCCTTTTTTACCAATTCGTAATTCCAAAGTCATGTAATAATGAAAATGGGATAAAAAATGCTTGGAAGTAGCATTTGAATTTGATATATGTTTTATTCCCTCTGTATCACTTTAGTTGTCCCACTTCCCTTTTTGGGTGCATCAAATTAATTGTCATATTTTCCGTTTTGGAAAGAACTCACTCAAAAAGCAGCTACAGCCTACAGTATCATTATAGTACTGCTACAGTACCAAACTTGTTACTTTTTATAAAATCTACATTAATTAGCTTAAACTCCATGAAAAGCAAATGAGACAACTAAACTACTAAAGTGATACGGAGGGAGTATTATAATAAGTTTTTTTTTCTAAAATACGTAGTATTACTAATACAAAAGTTATGGACAAAAATGTAATTTAGTAATTTTTAGTAACTATAATTGTGTCCAAAGCTTACATCATAGTCATTAAATGGTAGTAACTTTGAACCAATTATAGTCACTAAAAGTTATCAAGTCACATTATGCCTACCACTTTCCCATTAGTAATATTAGAGAATTTTTTCTTACAATAAACTAAAAGATACGTATAATATTAGAATTTATTTTGAAGAGGAGCAAAACATATTCCAAGTAACAAAATACTGAGTCTTCAAACATGAATTATGAAGACTAAATAAGAGTATGGTAAATTGTCAAAGGATAGATATAAATAGCCATCAATCATAGACAACATATATTGTTGTTTGATTTATGCCATACTTCCTCCACCCCTAAATTATCTTCCAAAGTACATTTGACACGAGAATTAAGATAATGAGTTGTGCAGAGGAAAGATAAATGTGAAAGATTGTATAACATCAGTATTGCTATGAACCACAATTTTTGACAAAATATGAAATGAAAGATTATTTTGAGATGAAATAATCTTAAGTGGGGCCAATTTGAACCCCCTATTTTGTGGTTCAAATGAGACAATTCATTTAAGTGGGACAATTCATTTAAATGATGGACTCATTGGAATCACACAAAGGGTGGGGTACATAGAGCAAGACTCATTTTGAGACAGACGGATCGGAAAAAAAAGTTGAAAGATAATTCAGGGACAAATGGAGTATAAAACAGTCAGGGGCGGAGCCAGAAAAGTGTGTGAGAGGGGTCGGAGTTTAATTATACACAGTATCAAAATGATGAATAGTTATTATACAATATTTGAATTAAATGTTTCATATGTAACTAAGATAGATGGTAGTTTAATGAGTCTTTTTCAGTTAATGTATTGATATATGTGTAATATATCATAATGTTCACACAACTAATGAGTGAATAAGGTGTTTTATTTTTAAATTTAAGAATATAACCAACGTCACAAGTCAAATTTTGCTTATTTCAACTTAAGATGGTGCTGATTTTTCCAGAAGTCATAACTTTTTACTCGTAATGAGTTACAGGACGACCCATAATATATCAAATCGAAGATATTTTAGAGCTCTACATTCTTGAACTTTCAGCGGGTCGGCTGACCACCCTGACCCCCCTTGGCTCCGCCCCTAAAAACAGTCTACCGCGCACAACTATATATCTGCCACATTAAGAGCAGAATTGGGTGAATATGAAAATTGAGGATTACAGGCTAAAAATGGAACGGAGTTCATGTTTAGATATTTATACATGTTATGTTTTTTATTGTTATGTACCTCGATTTCTCTAAAATAATCATACTTGAAGTGGTCGTGTTAATCTTAAAGAATTGTGAAGTGTAAACAAATTGCTTGTAATTTAATCAGAATTTTGTTTTTCATTTAAAGAAAAAATATAAAACAATAATGAACAACACTTAAGTTCATAATTATCGGATTCAATGGTATCGTTTAATATCATGTCAGCCATTTGAATATGAATTTTGCCTAAACCCTTTCAGGTGACGATTGTGTTTCAATAGTAAACAAAACAACAATGGTTAGAGTTCTTGACACACAATGTGGGCCGGGGCATGGAATTAGGTAATCAATTCAAGCTTTTTCGACATGCCTTTTTATATGTGAATAAAATAAAGGTTGAGTAATCGAAAAGAATTACAAACGAAAGAATTAAAAGGAAAAATGATAAATTTATTGAGATAAAAAAATGGAAAAGTACGTGTTTAAAGTTATTATGGATAAAAGTGGTGTCATCTATGTTTTTAAAGTTATAATGGATAGAAGTGGTGTCATCTTTCACTTAAGTAAATTGGAGCCTCTTTCATGACACTTAAATTGACTGAATTAATTAAAATTTGTGAAATATTGACAAAAATGGTTGAATTGACTAAATATAACGAATTATGAATAAATTATGTTTAATTTAAAATATACTCCGTACTTACTAATATAGTAAACAATAAATTATATCACAATGTTGCTCGAATAGTCAACGATATTCAACAATTTCAACGAAATGAGCCAGAAAAGTAACGTCTACCTTATGTTGGAATAATTGGGAGTATTTCAAATGAATAAAATATCCAAAATATTATTTGTTATTCAATAATATTATTTTATTAATCAAACTTGTACTTTCTTGAGATTGTTGGTGGAAATTCGGCCGGATATCCCTGCAAAAATAACGTTAGAAAATAATCTAGCTCGAGACGCGTCAGACGCTGTCCTCAAGAAAGTATTTCCGACTAGCGAAAACCTTTCCCCAAGATATAACGAGCTATACTATCGTGTATTTGACAACGGCGTAATAACGAGAAATTGTGCGGGGTGAGACACGACCATTAAGACCCTGATTTACCAATAGTAGCTTGTTGGTTCAAGAAACTATACGTTTCACCAAAAGCTCGGTTTCTTATTGGATGTTTATTACACTTGATGAATTATTCAAGGCCTGACATAGCTTCTATTGTCGAAAGATTGAGCCAATATACTAATAACCCAAGTGGGGATCATTGGACTGCGTTGAGGCGGTTATTGAGGTATTTGAGAGGTACCATTAATAATGGTATATTTGATTGAGACTATCCGATCCGTTGTAATATATTAATACAACGATAATACCTTTTGTAGAGAAATAACCATTGTAGAGTTGTACAATGATGTTATATGAGAATTACCCATTATTGTACTATAATGGTACAATGATGATATATATTTTATTGAGAATTATCCGATGTATTAAGGGGCCACATCGATGTTATTTCTTATTGAGAATTATCCGTTGTATTACCGGCCAGGATACAACGATGACATTTGAGTATACTCACATGAGATAAATTGAAATAGTGGATATCCATTCACCCTTAAAAGTGGTGCAATGATGTTTGAGAATGGAATTATTTCCATTAATTTTGTGAAGGAATTAGCTACTCCTTTGACAGAATCCCTAGGACGAAAAATGATAACCGAAACATCGAAGGAAATGGGACTAGTGTCACTTTGAAACGAATGGGGATGGGAACCCAACTTGTGTGATTGGAGATCCCATGAAGCAAGTTCAAATGGGTAATAACAAGTCTTCCATTTAGTTCTGCTAGACTAACTAAAATTGCCCATTTCCATGATGTGAGATATAGGCTAGAAACCGCATACTTTGAGAGGATGAGCTAAAAACTCTTAATGATTATCATAGCCCTTAATTTTAGGGTGGTGTGCAAAAGCGGTACACACTTGATGATATCACCTATATGAGTGTGAGGTGGGGCCGCCTCCATGAAGCATGACAAAACTTCTAGAGCACTCATGAAAACCAAGCACGTGCATGGCCTTACGGCGCACAACGGCGTAATAACGAGAAATTGTGCGGGGTGAGACACGACCGTTAAGACCCTGATTTACCAATAGTAGCTTGTTGGTTCAATAAACTATACGTTTCACCACAAGCTCGGTTTATTAAGACTTAATCGTCTCGGTTTGGTTCAAGTCTACGGACACCAAATTTAAAGTCTCATTCCTTTAATCCAGCAGAAATTTTCTAAACTATTTTTCAAAATCTAAAATTATTCATTTGAAATATGTGGGGGATTGTTGGAAAAATTGAGAGTATTTCAAATGAATAAAATATTATTATTAATATTATACGAGGAGTATTATAATTATTTTTATTTTCATTAATAATGTTGTTCATGTAACTTTTTATATCATTAATTTATAATAGCATTTTCATGTCTATCTCTTCTAAAGCTACGTTGGCTGCATGGTTAAACACTATTAGCATTATTAAATTGCTACTCGATCTATATATGTATGTTACAAAACTTTGGATAGTTTGTTGACTATTAATTAATATGGTTAATGAACAAAATCATTTCAGTTTCTATATAAAACGGCTGGTACGAGTTAATTATTGCTTTCATTATTATTATAAAGCGTATTATTATTCCTCCTGGCAACTATAACGACTCTTCTAATGTCCAATGGTTAAGAATATAATCCTTTTATTAATGTTATTATATTAATTCTATTTATTACTATATTAATGCTGCCAATTTTGAACGGCTGTTTTAGTTTAAAGGAGTTGGGAGTATATATATATACTACATGGATAGTACGAAGAAGATGAAATGAAGCTCCCTGTGATTTATACTCGAACATGTTCATACATAACAAAGTTTTACTCACAAAATTTTGGCTTAACCACATTCTGCTGGATTAATATTTTATACTCTCGTTGTTCTGTTACCGGCGTAAG